ATTTGGAAGATCCCTGTTCCGAGGACAAGTTTGAAACGGAAAGACAGTACGTGGATCTCGAAATTTTGTATCATAATTATGAAAAATGCAAGGTACAAAATATATAATTATTGCAAATTGTTTAACGAGAAAATTAAAAGATTTTATTGAAGGAAGAAAAAACACTTTAATTTTTTTTATAAAGCTCTTTTTCTTTTCTTCTTTATAAAATATTCTTTCTCAATGTTTTTAATTCAATCAATGCTCTTTTTTTTGGTAAATTTCTTTTGAGATTCATATAGAAAAACAAGTACATAATTATAAAGTACAAGTAAATTAAAAAGTTAATAAAATGGATTAATATAAGAAAAACATATAAAAGAATTAAGTGAATAATTATTTTTTTTTTATAGAATACGAGCGAATTTATGAGAGAGAGATCCATTAGGAAAACGCTGAAAGAACTTAATGTTTTTAAGGGCTTAAATGACAGCGATTTAGAATCGAGTATACAATCTGAAAACATAGAAAATACTGTTCATGTGATTGATTCTGTAATGCAAGAATATTTTTCGGTAATTAAATATTATATATTATATATTATATATTATATATATTATATATTATATATATATATATTATATATATTATATATTATATATTATAGCTTTTTGTAACATTAATAATATTATTTATCGATAAAACTATTATCGAAAAAACTATTAACTCTGTAGAACTTTCCGTCTAAGAGTGAAGTACGAGAGGCGTATTTGATGAACGATTACAGTAAAGTCAGTTTAGAGGATTTACAGAGCAGTAGTACATTCGTAAGTAAAAATATATAAGAATTTTAATTTCTCTGAAAAGTAAAAATGAAAAAAAAATGTGAAATTAAATATCTAACTCTAATCTCTTAGATTAAAATGTTTATTACATTTTTAACAATCTCTTATCTTTTAATTTATCTTTTAATTTTCTTTCGCAGGTAAATTGGGCGCAATTAATTCATTTGTTAACTGGAGTACACGTGGAAAGTAATGAGATTATTCAAGTGTATTTCCATGCTGCATTAACTAAAGGTTTACGCAAATTAGAAAAATATGCTAAAAAAAATTCTATGAATCTTAATAATGCGATAATGGCACTATATGCGAACAAGCTTTATCACGAGGTAACTTATATGTTAAGA